CTTGTAGCTCATTTAAGTTCTGTTTTTTACTAATTCTTACTCATTTTAGTAATTTTTACTAAGTTCGGTTTTTTTACTAAGTGGTATATACTTTTCCATTCCTAATTATTTAAAGATATATGGTTACTACCAAAAAGATTGTTAGTCGGAAATTGAATTAAAAATATTTACGGAAGTAAATGCTACTATCATCTCATTTTCATTAAGGTTTCAGATAGGCTTATGTTGAATTCTTTTAATATTTAACATATAAGAAGTGACGAATAACTTCTGTTTTAGTTAAACTCTATAATACTTTATAATTGTGTTGTCCAGATTTGTTACTATTTAATCTGTTAAGGTCATATCAAACGTCCATAATTCACGATGTTTTATTAATCTTTATTCTTTAATTAATCTTGCATCCTAAATATAACGCGCTAAATGTGTAATCCACGTTTTACTTATGGACACGTTTTGGGCTTTGAACTTATAAGTTGTAATTGTATTTCCATTTAAGCCTCTCAGAAGACTGTCTCATTAATTATCTTAATTTTTTGATTCACAGTATTTCATTTGATTTCCAACTGTTCACTCAAAAAGTTAACGGCTTTACCGAAAGGATAATTTTTTTCTTATATCACTTTAGATAGGATATTTAATATCCTGAATATAATAAGGTAAAAACGTTTATAACTTTTAAGGTGTATATATTATTTTAAATATATTTTTGCGCTGTAGTCTATTTCATCGCAGATAGAAAACAAAGTTGCCGGAATCGAAAAGTCCGTTTTTCTTCATGTATTAAGAATACCATTCTTTTTTTTTCATCACAGTACATCTGAAGTGAAAAGTATAACCTTTGACAACTTTTAAGTTTGGACTAAAGGAAATCAGAACCATTACTTAAGCACTTCCGCTATTCGTATATGTTTTGAACAATTTTCTGAAATATTTCATCACACTGAAACCTATTAATCAATTCATCAGAACATGTTCTATGCAACTGCCCAGCGGTGGCAAGACGTAGACTCGATTACCTTGGTAGCGGGATTCTGGTCCCAAATGAAATAGGTAAAATTTAGCGCACTGCAATTATAACATTTATAAATAGTCTAAAATTGTACTAGTTGAACCTATAGGCGCACAATAGATCTTTTAGGTTGGGGTGCACAAATAGCCTATTTAAATAATAATAATTAATCAATTATTATATATATTAGAGAAGTATTGACACCGTGACCTTCTGTGCCTTGCCACGTTAATTAAAACGGTGTTGGTCAGTAATAAATGTCAGAATTTATGTCTATTAAGAGTTAATATATAAATTTTTTTAAGTTGATTGGTAAACATATTCAAAAAAAAATTGCCTTTTAAATTTAGACTCAAAAGAAAAATATCAAAATGGTAGTTGTAGTTCAAAAATGGCAATTGTGGTGTGATTCTCTGTATAACAAGCCAAAAAGGACCTTAAATTGCGATGATCATTTGTGATATGACTCTCCGTATAACAAAACCCTAAGAAATACAACTAAGAATATAAGTAAAGTCATTTTGGTTTTTGAAGATTTTTGACTTTTATTTAGAGCGTTATTTTTAGTATATTTCTATACATATATCAGCAAATTCGCTTTTGCCTTCATCAGGAGAATTCCTAATACTCCTAAATATAGCAGATAAAATTAAGTAAATAAATAAAACTTTAACACTTCATTAAAAGTAGGATATTAGTATATGAAGCTGAGAGAACATACTAGGATAGTACAGATATGTTCCTGAATTGTTTTTTAGAGAAATGATTATATATCATAAATAAATTACCAAAATATTAAAATAGAATATATCACACTCAGATTAGTATAATGTTTGAGGAAAATCAGAGAAAACTTTCGCACCTTTTCTTTTTTATGCATAGAAACCGCACGACAGGTCCACAATGTGTGATAGGTCTTGAGAGTTTGATGCTGTTGGGATTGACGATATGTCATAGAATATGCCTACATGATTGCAGCAACTGAGATTACTATTGTTTTTAATAATTTAATTTCGAAAGGAAAAAATTAGAATAACATAAAGAGTCTTTTAATTAAAAGTACTTAAACAGAGTTTTATCAGTCTCATCCACTTCATTCACTTTAACTGTCAGCGCAGCCAGTATCTGCATGTGTGCTCAAAGAAATTTTAAACAAGAAAATGGAGCAAAACCTCATATGCATTTGCCTTTCACAGTTAGTGAAACATTCAATTCGCAACTATTTTCCTTATTGTTTTGTGTGATTACAAATATCGTATGGCGGTCTGTTCGTCCTTCCTTCCACACATTGGTTGGGTCTGTATGTGGTGCTTATGAAACGATAAAGCCGAAGCGCTTCGTCAACTGAGCTGTCAACATTGCAAATTATGGAATTTTTTTGGCAGAGAATCTATTCAGCTTTGGTGGGAGCCAGAGCGTTTGGTCTGGAGGCTGATGTGGGTGCTGAAGTTGGTATTTAAGTTCGTTAACGTTCTGTAACTATTAATTTATGTCTGTCGGCAACTGATAGCAACTAATCTTCTCACCAAACTTTCAAAGCGAATCAAGCCTTTTTCTCTCGTCAATTTATGAAAGAAATTCAATTCAAAAATTTTTGCTGCTGCTTTGATTTTGCAGCAACAAAGGTTTAGTTAGAGTTAAGATGTATGCCTCGGTTGGGAACGCTGGGTGTGCAGCTGTGTGCACAGTAGTTTCTGTTTGACTCTGTAAGTCAGTCATTCAAGTCGTCATTTGAGCTTCAATCGGCGAATGGAAATTGGCTTATTAACTCAGTTGAAACGTCAGTGCTGCAGGGTTGTATTAGGCCACCACACATTTCCATTTGTTTCCCATCACAATAGCACTATGTGCCAGGATATTTGCTTGTAATCAAAGAGTGTGTGTCTGTCTGGTTCTATCATGGCTTGTGCATCGAATGCCAAGCATACGTACACTTAATTGTATCTGCTTCATAACAAATTATTTCAACTGATAAGCCTTTCTCATTCATCGCATTCTCGTTTATTGTTTTAAAATGAATTCCTTTTCAAAATGATTTGAAATCAAGGAAATGGAAATTTGAGGTTTTATTATCTCGAAGGTATAAACCATTTGAGTGACTGCTCACATACAAACTTAAATGTTGGTTCATATAATATAATTTGAGTACGCTTTGTTCTTTTTAGCTACTTTTCGGATAATAAATCTAAAGACTTTAAGAAATATTTGAGGCAGACAATATTAGTGGATTTCAATGAAATCATTCATTTGTTCACTCACAATTGATTTAATATTTTAATAAGAAACATTTGTTATGCGTAAAAAGTTAAGAACTTTAAAATTAGTCCACTTTTAAATATTTGGGACCTCACATAATTTTTTACATAAAAAATAATTCTTCTTGTTCAGATTTACTAAGCAACAAAAGAAGCTGGGAGCGCATTAATCAGACCTACCAGCTAATGAATAGCACAATCGCAAGGTTCATTGACGGCTCGCTTATGGAGGAAGATGCCGGAGCGGATATAATCGGACCAGGCAAGATGCAGTGGGAAACGTTGGGAAGAAATACTAGCATTTTCCAAGTGGACATTTACGCAATATTCAAGTTCGTATTTATCAATATTGACCGGAATTATCAGACTGGTGCAAGAATCAAATCAGGTCCCGATTCTCTGGGTGCCGGAATATACTGGCATACGCGGAAACGAATATGTAGACAAACTGTATATAACCGAAGCCAGTACAAGACTTTCGGCAGGGTAGATTAAGCCTGGCCTCATGCAGTTCTATATTGCACAATCTTGGAAGAATCGATATTATCTAAAACACCTATGACTTGATCTTATAAAGTCTGAGTATGTAATGCTATGTCGCTTTTGATTTGGCAACTAAGTATATAAATATTATTATATCTTAAAAAGTGACCATATATCAATTTTCATTTGCGATTGGCAAGAGGAAGGATTGAGATAGAAGTTCTCATCAAACAAGTACCAAGTCTCACTAGCTCGTAAGCGTGTTCTTTCCTCTTGTAGTAGTGCTCGTTGGAACTACTATCTAATAATTTGTTAAAATATCTGCATTCGTGAACTATACTGAGTTAGATACAACACTGTTGAATTGATGATAACAGCTGCCTGACTGTCTGTGTGAATATAGCTTCTCTACAACTAAAGCTATTTTGAAGATTTTTGGTATAGACTGTATGTTTTTTGGCTTGAATTACTTTTAACTTGCGGTATCTCGATTTAATGTACTTTGAAATGAAACAATCTGTATTGAAGAAGCCCCAGTGGCTTCTTTAGTAGTTCTCACAAAAAAGTTTATTATTGAATTAGGCATATGCTGACACAGATATGGGTGTTGAGAAGCTGAAGTTTCCCGTGGTGTGCTTTATAGTTCTGATCAGGTACTTTATCATTGGAGCTGCCACGTAGCCAAGAAGAGATTAAATTAGAGGTATTGCCAACTTTTATGGTTTGTTTTATGGTTCGACACCAATAAAAGTTCTGATCAGGAACTTTACCATTGGAGCTGCCACGTAGCCAAGAAGAGATTAAATTAGAGGTACTGCCACCTTTTATGGTTTGTTTTATGGTTCGACACCAATAAAATAGGAGATATTTATAACATCAAATATACAGAGATTTCCAAAAGTACTGAACTGCAACAACATAATTTTTTATTTCTTTTTATTAATTTAATTTTTGGTTGACCATAATACATATATTTCGAGTAGTGCCAAATACTCCTCATTTGTGATTTTGGAAGTATTTCTCATATTTAATTATTCGAAAATTATTTTTTGAGACTAGTAAATTCTAGAATAATTTTAGTTTTTAAGTGAAATAGTCACTGCAGTCATAAATGACGTTAAAATCGAATTTAATAAAAAATCAATCATGTGATTTCATATATGCATGTAGTTAGGAATACAATGGATTTTTAAAAATGAATTTATTTTAACTATTATAAAATAAGATAAATTATTATTCCTTGAAAAAAATTTCCGTTTATTACAAAAAAAAAAAAAAATCACAAAAAAATTTAAATCATCACCAGAATTTGGAAAATCAGAAAAACTATGAATTTTGCTCAATTTCGAGTTTCTAAATAGTTTTGAAGCCGTATCCTGTTGAGTGTTGCTAATTGATTTTGCCATATCTAACGCTGGTTTTGCCAAATGTTCATATATTCTTTCAAAATCTTAGCAATAGCTCCAATTCCATTTCCAGTGATAACATCCAACTTATCCATAGTAGAAAGTGCTATATAATATCCAGTATCTGCGATCATGTATGCTTGCTCAGGATCGCTTAGTTCGTAATAGCAGAATAATGCGTAGTTTAAATTTAGTGAGAATCTCTCCTCGTGCTCCATTTCATCTAGGGTTGTGAAAAAACTTGCTGCTATATATGACATCTCAGCTTCCATTAAGTTAAGCTTATGTGCTTTGCCTGTTGTAAATTCTAACAATATGCAGTAATAATCTCCTTTAAACTTATTGCATATCATCTTATGCTCGTTTGAAATGGAATTGGGAATTAGCTTATCAGTTATAAGCTTTATGAACTCATGGCATAGGTCACAAATTCCTTGCTCCACTTTAGCTATTTCGTTCAACATAATTAAGTGACTTGGGGACTTTTCAGCCTCACTGCCTGAATCAGATAGATCGTACTCAGCTAAATGGCGTTCCTTAAAGTACTTTAAGGCCTTCGATACACGCTCTTTTTCCACGGTACATTTGTAGGCTGCGTTTAGCATACACAGCTCTTCAATGCTTATCTTTGGGTCAGTATTAATCACGTGCTTTAAGATTTGAATTACTTTAACATGTTGATTTGTTAATTTCGCTAATTTAGCATCGAGTATTAACTTTTGACGTTCGTTCAACATTTTGGCGGAATAAAAAAGCAATCCACCGGGAACTCGAGTATTTATGTTGCAAGTTCAACAAAAATCGAATATTGAACTTCTTCTAAAATGTGTAGTAGATAGTTTATTAAGTATTTTGAAGATAATTGAAGAAAAACTAACCAATGTTGAAAGTCAATAGCGGAAGTGGTAAGGAAAGCGATGCTTTGTTTCGGAAACACGAATCTTTTGCAACGTTCAATATATAATCTATAATGGACAGTATACCGATTATGTGTATATAGAATAATTAGAGTAATTTTATAAGTTTAACTATATAATAATATTGGTAAACATTGAGACTCACCTGCATAAGCAATGCCAATATCAAAAATACCAAAAGTAAAATTAATTACTTGGTAATAACGAATGGAAGCGTCACACAGTGCTCCTCAAATAAGTAAAAAAAAGTAGATACACTAAAATATAAAAATATAGAAGCTATAGTAAACAGGACCTCAAGATATTAGAAGATTTAGTATTACCTGCATTAAACAGATGTTCCAAAAGTTAAAAACTGTATAAAGGGTTATTGACTTTTGGTATCAACGAACGGGTAGTCTCTGTGGCGCACCTTACTTCCGGAGATTAATATCTCAATTCACAATATAGTCAATCACGCAGTACGAAAGTGACAACACATTTAGCCACCTCTAAAATAATCAGTAAGTTAGACAGTTATAAGTATTATTCCGACATAAATTAACTATTATATCGGTTCAAATGATAAACAATAAAATAACAACATTTGCGTGCGATGTCATATAAAAAAAATTATTGTTTTTACATTATCTAAAAATAGGAAGATAAGCTAAGCCAGTTTTAAGCCAGATTTATGTTTAAATGATGTGAATGCTATGGTTTCATTATGATCTTTACTATTGGAGCATCCATGTAGCCAATGGAAGATGTTATGTGAGAAACTGAAGCTCCTGTGGCTTCGTTTAGAGTTCTCACCAAGAACTTTACAATTAGAGCAGCCACATGTACTGGCAGATATGAGTGTTGCGGTGCTGAAGTATCTCGAGGTTCCGATCAGAAACTGTACCATTAGAGCTGATACATAGCCAAGAAGAGATTGGATTACAGGTACTGAAACCTTCCAATAACTTTACCATAGCTTTGAAACAGGTATAAATCAAAAGACAGATGGGGTTTGAGGTAATAAGTCTTCCGTGCTTTTCTCCATGGTTCACGCCAATAATTAAATCATTGAAGGTAACTATTCTTCAAGTTAAATTATTATAAAAGCAAACCAAATGATTTGTATACCCAAATAAAGTAATTTTTTTGTCTTACCTATTTTATGCGGACCGCCTATTCAAAGTTTAGCAATTAGCAAAGTCCAATATTTCAAGGTTTCGTGTATTTTCTTTCTCAAAAAAGAAACGAAATGTAAAAATGCGCCAATGTTCTACTAAAATTTTGTCCTAAAAAATTGAAACGAACAGAAGAAAATTATTGTTTGTTCTAAAACCAATAGTAAAAAGATTTTAGGGTAAGATTTTTTTCTAATTAAAAAATTACAATGTTACTTAGATTTTTTTAAAGTTAAAAATATAACAAAAAGTGCAATTAAGACATTTACATGATGCGTTTAATTTTGATTGGTAAATGGTTGAAATCTTTTCGGGCTTGGAAAAAAAATTATTATTGCAATTATAGCGTATAACATCTAGACAATGATTTTTATTAGGATGTCCTATAATGGAAACTGTGTCCTTATAAATATTTTTAAAATATTTCCTAAAATTTTAGGGACTTTTAATCTTTTAGATTTATTCTTGCTTCTGAAAAATAATATCCATAACAGCATATATTTTTGCAAACATTTATAGTAAAGAATACTTACAGAATTTTTGTAAGAACTACGAACCTGCTACCATATAAATTATTCTCTTTACCAAAAAGATTGAGTTCTGGCAAATTTCTACTCATTGACTCATTATCTGTTTTTCTTTATATTTGCAGTGTACATTTTGTGAGAGGTTCACTAACAGAACTACGACTAGCATTAAGTATATATGTATGTTTACACTCTTTGATGGCAGTCATAAGTTTGATGTTATTTATATGCTTCGACAGATTTATGGTTCATTTTTATTGTTTGACCCTTGTACAAACTAAATGAGGCCTTTTTCTCTTTTGTGTTTATTTTGCATAGTCCAACTGCAAAGATGAAAACACTATGACTCCCGATGGTGTATAGATCAATAAATCCAAATAATAAAATGGTTGAACCTTCGAACAAATTGATTATTATTTTAATTTTTATTTTTATTGGTCATGTATGTATTTGATTATTGGAATGCTAACTTTGATGGTGATCCTCAGAGGATGACTAACTAATAACCAAATAAAAATGCAATATACAGATAAAGAGCAACACAATCAGTAACATATTATGTATAAAATGGAACAGTCAACGAATGCATCGTGTCTTTAGTTCAAGGTTTGCTATTTTACAACATGGAAGCATAAATACATAATGTCTTTAAATTATGACAACTTATTAAGAAAATGGTGACGACTTTTCAAATCGAGTTTTTTGGTGACAGTTTGACTGGAGATTTGAACGATCTATATCTGACGAGGATGTGACACAAATGGTACATACTGATTGCTACAGAAGTGCTGAGTTATTTAATATAATTTCCTGTCATGAAGGCTCAAACTCAGGGTGCTCTTAATACACGTATCGATATATTGCGCCGATACACGTCTGGATAGTGTTTCCTTCTTGGTGAGAAGTGAGGCCTATCTTACACCTCCGCAACGAATAAAAGTAAATAAATACAGTAATTCTACTCTCGTATCCTAATTGCCACAGCCACATAATTACTAATTTTTTTATCGGCAAATTAAAGATTTGGATGCAGAAGTTCCAACAGGTCATTGCCACAAGACACACAATTCAGTTTCACATTTTGATGATGTGAATTAGTCACCACAATCATATAACTTATTACCACTGCATTTTCTGTGGAGAAACGTATAATATCGTGTTCATGCTAATTTGTATAAAGCTAAAAGTTATTAGTAGATAGATTAAATAGATTGAAAAACATTTAAATCATTTTTCTACATATAAACATTTTTATTATTGTAGAATTAACAAGACCTAATCGAGCTACAGAGACGTCACATGAGTCAGTGCATTGAACTCAACGTCCTCAACTCTCTGCTGCCAAACAGAGTAGTTAAAAATAAAATTGACAAAAACTATTTTAATGACTTAGGTATATAACCTATTACAGCCGACTTAAAAGTTAAACTAAATAAAATGTGTTAAAAAAATATCAACAAAAATATTGTATCACATAATTATAACCCTTTCGGAGCTTCAACATCCAACAAGATAGGTGAGATAATAAAAAATGGATGTAAGTGAAATTATCGTACCTTCTAAATTCGATGCTATGTTTGAAGTTGAATAAGTAATATTCATCGAACTATAATTGAAGTCTATAGAGTGGTGAACTATCAACTCACAAATTTCATGAAAAGTATTTTAATTTCTCACAACACATTGAGATGTTGATGGATGATAAATCTAATTTTATATTGTTTTATCTATTGATTAACATAATCATCCACTCACATTAAACTTAGAATTAAAGGGGTTTTAGTCTTAATAGGAAAATCAGGCTTTTTATGTGGATAAAAAGAAGAATTCAACCCATTCTGGCATTTCTGGTACTTCCTTGAATTTTTGTGAAGAAATCTTTATTTCCGCAAGCACTAAGTTTGATATTCCTGAGATGGCCAGATAGAACACATTTATATAATTATACTATTAACTATAATTAACTGATCTTTTTAATTACTTACAAAATTACTTATTTATTAAGCCTCTAACCAAAACAAATTGATATTTGTGAAAGAAAATAATTTTTATTGGCTTTGTTCTGGAAACGTTGTACATTAATTTTTTGAGCAGAAATGTGATCGAAACTTATTATATTATTATGTTAATACATTATTTTTTAATTATGAATATTTTAAGCCTGTGGAGCTACGCTTTGTTGAACTAATTGCAGATTTTGTTTCAGGAAACAGGTAGCACCACGATAGGCCCATTCGCAAGCGTTGGATCCTTGTTCATTCTGATCAATGCAGGATTCTATTTGAGCGTGGAGAGCGTCATCATGAGTAGCTGGAGCTGTATTGCCCTGCAGTTGTTGATGTATATTTTCCACATTGAAACCGTTCTGAGTATCAAATAAGCCAAACTTCACAAAAACGCATTTCAAATAGCATTGCGAAGTAACATCATTGGGGAAGACCCATTTCTTGAATTGCTCAACACGTTCAGCGGGCACATTGAGTTCCTGAACACACTCCTGACGATATTGTAAAAGATTTTCACGAGTTTTTACCACATATTCAGCAGAAGTAACGGCAACTAAAACGCAAATAGCAATGAAGATTTTCATTTTTAAATAGAAAACTTGTAGTTTTTTGTAGTAAATATCTCTAACGCAATATATTCACGATATGGCTACCGCAACTCTCAGTATGATACTGTGCACTACTGCGATGGTTCACGGGTTTTTATATGCGAGTTGTAAGGCTGGAACTTTACCTGATCAACTATTCAGTGTTTATGGAGTGTATGCGCATAAGAGAGAGTGAAAAATTCTCACACTGATTTTTAATTGATATCCATTTATGATATAAAATTGAATCGAACCACTTGTATATTCAACTTATGAACAGACCGAATAATGCCAACGCAAAACGAACAAGACTTCAAATTTTAATTATAGGAGGGTTGTTGGTTTTTTTATTAGGATTTTTAAAAATCTCAACGAATCAACAAAATTTTCCATTGTTTGACAGGTAAAATTTCGAAACGCAACAAGAGGAAAGGGTCATTGTCCAACATGCTGCTTTTATGTCACAATTGTTGTGTGCCTCTTATGAAATTGAAAATCTTTAGATTTGTTTTGTAATTTTAGACGATCTGAAAAATTACTGCGTAATTCCATAATCATCCCTTCTCTGCCAAAATACGTGTATTTTGTCTTTTGTTCGGTTTAAGAAGGTATGAGTATCGCACCATTTGTGGTATCCAATTGTGTATGCCTGTAGTGTTTTTTAAGTATTCTCGTTTTCACAAAATTTCTTTGTTAATGTTTTCATTATATATTGTTATGTATATACATACTACATATGATATTGAAATACATAAAAGTGTACATTATATAATGAATTAGTATTGGGTTTTGCGACTTAGGCTGTTTAAATTTCATGCGTCTTACGATCATATTATATTCTACAGCTGAGCACTGTTCCTTCATACATAACATATGATCACTAGTGATGTATGGATTAAGTCAATCTAAGAAACATCTTCTTATAATTGCTTCAAGTACTAAAGGGTAAGTTTATATATTTTTATATAGGTTTCTTTGTGAATGTCAAAGTTTTAACTAAGAACATATCAAGAAATAGGACAATCTATGATGTTGTATTCACCAGATCTGTGATAGGCATTGGAATAAGTTCCAGTAATGTAGTCATCATTGGAAGAAAATAGGTATCTCTTACACTTTTGAAAGTATTATACTGATTAATTAATTAATACTTAGATTTCGAAAGGGTTGCGAACTATGTCACACGTCACTGCAACCTTTGAGGATTATTGTGAAAATTCTTTATAACTTATCAATGAAATTAAGTAGGATTATATTTACACATATGTATATGGTATTTATTATTAAAGCATAAAATTCAATTTTTTTTTGTTTTCAATACTGAAATCATCAGAACTACCACTCACAACGCGAGGTAAGTTTTTAGCTACGGACATATAGTCATATTAAACATCGCATCAAACATTTCAAATTTCGACTAGCTGTCAACCCAGATTTTTACTAACTATCGCTATACCATAGTTTCTCCTCATTTCAACTGATAATCCATATTTTCTTAAAATAAGTACTTCCACAAATATTTTATTTAATAACCATACTTTGTTATAACCCTCGTATCATACACATCAAGGTTGTTCAGATCAGATAAGATCACGGGTCAATACAAATTACTGAATAGTACTTTTACAATAATGTTAAGTTGAGCTTTATTAATTTTTTATTAATTTATATATTACAATTTTATCAATATCAACATTTTAATATTAGTTGTTCCCATACGAGAAATATTTTATTTTTATTATAATGACTGAACACGAATTTTATGAACGAGTCTTTTTTAATTAAGAAAATTAATATAAAATGTATTAAATTAATTAAAACATTTTAAATCATTAATTTGGGATATCATAAAAATAAAATAATATAATTTTACCAAAATAGAACAAAGAAAAATTTACCTAATTGTCCCCACAAATATTATCTGTGGGCTGTGCTTTGAACAGCCGTAACATACATGATACTTGTAGTAAAAGAATACAATCAGTTGTGATATAGGTGAATCTTTAAATGATATACTAATCAATGGAACAATTGTTCTCCGTCCATCAAAACATTCTTATATTGAATACAACGTTGAACATTTTAGTAGAAGAAATATTCATGACCAATCATATATCATATAAATGTATTTCTATGAGGACTATAATAGAAGACATGACATACATGATTTTTCTTGTGAAAGAACATAACCAGACGTGACATAGATGGATCTTCAAATAATGCACTGATTAATGGAGTTCTTGTCCTTTATCTATTAAAAAGTTATTATATTGAATACAATTGCTAATATTTTAATAGAAGAAATATCCACAATCGCTCATGGTCACCATCTTCGTGCCATATCCATGATACATTTTGCAGAAAGAAAAGCAATCAGATATCATATAAATGTATTTCTAAATAGTCTGTTTAACAAAAGAACTATTTTCCTTGTTGCAAATCTATTTTAGTTTCTTCTAGGTTAGAATTAATGTAATTTGTTTTAAATTTTTTCTAATATGACCGAAACATCATTCTTTCAGCATGATATTCTTTTTCTATAAAGTTAAAATATTCACAATTAATTTTTATACCTTGTTTTCTATTATACCCAATTTTCCAAGAATTCATATATGTTTTACAATAAAATGATTTAAAATCATCCAAAGATCTTAAATAAACGAGAAGACCCTACATAGGGATGGACAGACATAACCCAAAGCCCAGCTTAAACAGCCGCTTAATGTGTTAATGTCTAACATATTAAATCAAATTAAATTATGGACAGTGGTAAGTTATATGTTGACCTGCCACTGTAACTAACCAACCATGTTACCATACCAGCACTCACAGTTAGTAGATAATAATTAGTGATAATTGCACAATTAATATTAAATGTTTACACTACGACAAATCAATTAGCGAACACCGAATCAACAAAAAAAGGAAAAAAATTGAAGAATGAAATTCAATAAAGTTAAATTTTAGATTTAATTAATTTATGTGATATGATTAAAATTAAATTAAATAGAAATAATTATGTATTTTATACATAATTAGATGTTTATGGTAAAGTCAAAAAAATACTAAAACCATTTATCATAAAATGTATGCAGTACATTCTTCGATTGCTTCGACGCTAAAATAATTGTTATTTATTATAAAATTTTTTCAAGAGAATATAATTCTTCTTTAGTATAATAAAATTTTTTTATAAGTTGTTAAATATGGGTCCACTAATTTGATAATTAATTTTAATATGATAATTGAATAAAATAGTTCTTTTCATAATCATCACAATCAGTGAGAGCTACTAGGGAAATTTGTGTTTTTTTTTTTCTTTATTAGAGAAAATATAATTCTTCTTTAGTATAACAAACTTTTTGTATGAGTTTTCCAAAATAATTTGAGAAACTTGAAAATTACTTTAATGAAATATTTTATTTCATCATTCTTTTCATCACTGTCATTATATGCAATTTCACATTAATTCTAACTTTGTTTATATATTTGTTAAAAATAAATAATATTATTTATGAATTAAATTTGTGATTAGTTTCGTTAGAATAATTGTATGAATTAGATCTTTTCAAAAGCCCATTATAATTGAAGAAGTTAAGTAAGATTTTATCTTAAGCTTCTAAATCTTGAAAGTATTAGAAAAGGCTTATTGTCCACCGCTATATATAAACTTAATCTTACAAGTGATATGTAATTAAATTTTTTTCAAATACTGACATTCTGAAAATGGAAAGTTTTTTTCTCATATTAATATTATGCACGATAACTGTCGGTAAGGCAGTTAGGTCTTGTCATGAAGGGTAAACGTGGAAAGCCACGGCAAATAAAATACATATCATAACTGAAATAACCACGTCAAAATCATTTGTGGTTAAGTGCTTCATTTTACAAAAACGCCAAAATTTTTTGAAACAGTTTATGGGTACTTATAGAAACCAATTATGGGTAGTTGGGGACCCAATTTAAACCTAAAAGCACAATGAATATAATCGATTAGCAGTATTAATTTTTTGTCAATTATTCCTGAAAATACTGATTAATTACTATACAAAAAAGAAATATCTACCTCGCAGATATTGGTATACCTTTTGCAAAGGCAGAACCTGAAGTTGGCAAAAAAAGATGAGATATATAATAATGAGACATACAGTGCTATATCAAATAAATATAATTGCTTGGTCAGTCATTATTGTCCAGTTATGCATATGAAGAATACATTCCCGAGTAATGTTATATTATATACCACAACGGCAAAAGTATCATTAGTCTTTGCTAAGACTCTCATGTTTAAAATTAAAAAAAAAATTCGGATCAATAAGCGACTTGACTGAATCGGAATCAATTCAGCACTATATATAGGTGCTGACAGATCAAGCTATTTTCGGGCTAGCAATCTTTCAGATGGTTTCTCAGATCTAGCGACGGATATGATCATAGCAGTAGTATCACAATAAGCCATTGTTTGCGCTTAAGTGAGTTTTAATGCACAAGTTTGCTACTCCAACTTAATCAAAACTGAACGAAAAAATTAAGTGCATAGTATAAAGAAAATATATTAGATCAGGAAAACGTTATGGAATGTTATGGAGTATCGGATCTAAAAGAGGTGAGTGTTTCGATTGTCAAAAAATATGATTGGCTCCAGGATGGTTTCGTAATCTATAGAAACTATTTAGACATTTATTAAATTTTTGAATATTTTATATGTATTTTTATTTATTATTGTTGTTCTTGATGTATTTCGTTAAAAAGACTTCATACAATACTATACGATATGTATTTGGACGAGTAAAATAAAAAATTTGATAACAAGGCAAGACAAATATTCAATTCAAATGCATTTTTTTAGTTAAATTGAAAATTTCATGTCCAATCTTCGTCCTTCTCATACAGTTTTGTGCTCCACTAACCTACACAGAAATCCACATAAACGGAGCGCCTATCCTAGAATATTTTCCTTGTGAAAATTTTTGCTATCGAATTATTAAAAATTAATTTTATTTAAAGATATTGTTCATTGCCTCTGTTATTTAAATCGAATTAAAATTGTTGCAATGAAAAATTACAAAATTCTGTTAAGTCATT